AGAACCGGACCCACGGAGCCTAGCAAACTTCGTGTGAGTCCTTGCCGGACGACCTCAGAGCTCTTCTACCCAGGTTCGAGTCTTACAGGTTTATCTTCCCGTCGCCGAAAACCCTTGCGACGCACCCTCATGTTTTACATCTTCCTGTCGCCGAAACCCCTTGCGACATACCCTCGTGTCCTGCAGGTTCGAGTTTTGTTTTCTTTTCTGTCTGTAACCGCAACTCAAGCAAGTTTTCCAGCCTACACCACTGCCATCTCGGTGTAAGTAAACAATCTTTTAAACTACCGCTAAGCATTTGTGCCTAATTCCAGCTCGACGGCCTTCCCTCTCCGACCCGGCGTGCCCAGGCTGCTGGCCACAGCCCGCGTGCAGCACGGAAAAGGGCTCGGGTCGCTCCCGGCCTGCAGAGTTTTTATCTTAAATCTGTTCCCAGTTGGGTTAAACTAAAGTGAAGAAGTCTGGTTTAAATAAATTCTCTTGCACCAGTTTAACTAAATTGGTTTAATTTTTTTATCTGTAACTAACTTGATGCAGCTGAGGTGGTTGACAAGCCCTTAACACAGATCATCTGTTGTGATCCATCTTAACCACACAGCTCTGTGGGGTTTTTTAGGTGACTGGGGTGTTTTTTTTTTTCTTGCCTTTGGATTGCCTTGATTATTGATAAATGCAAGTTTGAATTAGTGTTTTATTGTTAATTTATTATATTTGTATTCAACTTTAACTCCAGCTTCTTTTTACATGCTTAGCATGATGGATATGCAGAGCTTATGACTAAGCTAGTAAATTTTCATATCAACTTTACAATGTGGCTTCTGTGATCACTTTTCCACCAAAGCCAGGCAGGTTTCACTGACAGCAGCCTTGTGCACCCTGACAAAGACTTACAGTGTGTGTATGTAAAGTGGTGCTGACTAAGAAATACAGGCTGTAGGAAATGGGTGAATGGTAAAGATAGTTGAGGCAAAAGTAAGACCGTATGCACGTTGGTGAGTATTTACGGAATGATGGTATCAGAACTAGCCAAACTCTGAGAGGGCTACCTACTTAAATACCTTTTCCTTTCGTGGCATATCACCACTGTAGCTCCAGTGACCATCCCCTTCTCTTGGAGATTTAGGCAATGAGGGGTGGTTGAAGGGTTTTAATCTCTTTATGCTAGCATGTTGATACAAGGGAGTGTGTGCGTTCTTTCTTCAGATACAGTGTATATAACATCTAGTAAGCCAGATGATTCATTATTGTTCCATAAGGGTGGGGCGGTAATTACTTGTATTTTTAGATTCCTTAAAATGATGCCAAAACATAACTAAAGTTTTAAGTTCTGAATTCGGGAAGGTACATTGTCCATTTTATATAAATATATTCTGAATGAATAATGGTTTTGAACAATCGACTGTTATAGGCAACAATCAGTATTTTATTTAATAAGACCTCTATTTCTAATGTATAGTCCAACCAGTACTAAAGCATACTGATTTTTCTCATTCCCTTTTCATCCCTATTTCCATTCCCTCTTTTTGTATGTTCTCTCATGAGGAATTCGCCTAACTTCTGCTATACAATACTTATCTTCTGTGTCTAAATGTACTAATCTGTGGGGGCTTGGGGGGTGAAAGCATTTCTGTTGGAAGGGGAAACTGCATTAAGAGGCATGTCTTTGCATGCCACTTTATGGGTGCTGAATACTTCATACCCTACTGCCAAACTGCTCTTTGGCCCACTCTATTGCACTAGTGACTCAATGATTTCTGCTGTAAGGAGTGTCATAAGGCATGTTGCACTACACTGACTGCTGCAGAACAGTCATGTGATACTCCGTCTAGCTATTTTCCACAAGGGATCTCCTCAGCCATCAGAGAATTGCTGCAAAAAGTTTTGTTTTGTCAGCATCCTGATTTTCTTTAACAGTTTATGGTAATTTAGGACTAAAACTTGTAAGCGAGGAATCCTAGCCAGAATATATACACATTCCAGAAAAGACTGAGGACATCTGCCTTACGTGATGTGTAAGTGCACTAGTAGTATCAGGGCACCCACTTTTCACGGCGGGAAATCAGGACAGCGTAGGAGGGCATCCAGAGCGTGGTGCTAGCGAGGTGTAAGGGAGGAGTTAACACACGAGGCTTTTGGTGCCGGAGGCGAGGGAGAACTGTGCAGTAGGGATGGTGAGAAGGAGGGTGGCAGTAAGACAGGCCAGAGGCAAGATTGTAATCCTTAAACTACATGTTTATTAGTGATCTCTGGTTTAGCTCCCTACAGCTCCTTCCTGTTGCTCCTAGGTGCAGCCTGGCTTCTCTGTGTATGCCTAAAAATAAATGCAATGACCAGATTTAAAAGCAAAACCAAGAAGTCCTGGGTTTATTTTGTTTCAGCCCCTTCTGCCCTTCCCCGACCTTTGACTCCCCGTGAGGGGACAGGGCCATCATTTGGGTAATGTTTTAGGCCCGGTGACGATGGGCGCTTGCTTATCTTCATTTAAGGCTCGAAGGGCAGAGATCTTTCCCCGTGGGCCGGAGGCCTGCTTGACTTGACTTTCTGCTGCCTATTCTGGAGAGCCCGCGCGTGAGTGCACACAAGGACATCTCCATCCACCCACAGAAGGGAGTACCTTCTCCCGCGCGTGCGCGGAAAGGGGGACGCGTTTCCTCCGAACAGCCCAGCCAGCCCACGCGCCTCCCTCTAAGCCCCGCCCCTCCCGCGGCGGGGCCTGAAGGACCCCATGCCTTCCCGGGGCTGCCCTGCTCAGTGCCTGCCGGGAGACCGCCTCCCCTCAGCCCTGAGCCCCGCGCACCCCACTGGGACGAGGCGTCTCTGTAAGAAGCGGGGCCCGCCCTCGAGGCGGGACAGCAGGGGCCGCGTGCGGCGGCGGAGCAGGCGGCGAGGGGG